AACAAACGAGGGGCTGTGACAAACAGTTTCGTCGGAGTTTCATTCTACATCACGTGAGGGGCGTCTCGCATCTCCGTCCTTCGTGTTGGCGGCATATAATGCATTTGGCTATATTGTCGACCAGATACGTTAGACTCTGTTATCGATCTTGATCGAACGCTTGAGTGTGGCGCAATTTGATATGTTATTAGTAGCTAATTCCACCTGACGGTCCTCCCGGTCACGCCCCTTAATGCACCAGACCGTATTCTCGCCCAGATTCCTTCTTGAATATGATGTGCGCATACAACACCCCTGGTCGTCATCAATCACACACGCATGATTTTTTTTCAGCGATGCAAAAGAGAACCCCGACAGCTGCGACGCTTCGGGCGTTACTCACATACGAACATTCTTATTTTATTTTTTCCGTATGTTTTTTTTTTTTTTTTTTGGGGGGGGGGGTGCGACGGCCTTTTCAACGAGGTTATTCCGAATTACAGTATTATCCTGTTGTTTTGGTTGCATCTCACCCGGACGTAGGCCTGTATTTCAACAACATTTCGACAGGAGCTTGTTATGAACTTGGTTGTCTGACGATTTTTACCGCCACTCACACACAGATAGTCTCATACACGCCCATACATGCATAAGAGACGGGGGAGAGGAGACAAAGTCCAAACTGAACACAGATAAAAATAGATAGTGGAAGCACAACCATGCACAGATGGGGAGAGGACACACAGTGTTTCTCACTCTCTGACGATACTCCCAACAACCAATCACAACGAAGAACCTGCGAGGATAACAATTGGAATACGCACTGATGATGAGCCAATTAACCAGAAATCGTTACAGAGTTTGTTCTAGTGTCTCGCCACTCTCAGAACCTCACACTCCACTCTCTACCCTGCACACCCAGTTAGTAGCGCCACATCAGAATGCCCTCCCAGAGGCCAGCGCCAACCACCCAGATGAAGAACAGATCCTGCGATAAAGTCTTCAATATCGATGAACAACTCTGACAAAGAAACAGGCAGCTATGGCTGTCGCCACCCACAAGGACTCAGTGAGGAGTCTTCACACCGCCCAGCCACTCGCAGGAACCCACAGGGGTTGGTGCGCAAAGGATGCCCCAGCTATGGCAAGTCCTCAACAGGCTGGCTATGGCTGCTGTCCGCGTTGAGGGTCTCAGGGTGCCGCCTGTAGACAATCGCCGCTCCAAAACTCTCCTGGCTCCAAAACGCTACATCGCGAAAATGAATTGCCAAAAAGTCCCAAACCGATTCCCCTAAGCTATTAATAGGCCTCTACTACTTTAGCCTAGACCTAGACCGGACTGACTGACCGACCGGTACCGTTTCTATTTCGGCCTCTCGGCCTCTACCGGACCCGGCTATAGGCTATAGGACCGTCTATCAGCTTAGGCCCTTAGGGCTTGTCTGTCCTAGGGGTAACCCGGGCCTGCTAAACGCAGTGAGGGTAGCTGTAGGAAATTTGAAGTACTGCTGGGCCTATTTTCCCATATTTGCAAATATGTCCCTCACGAATTTTCCTTACAGGTAGGTCTCTCGGTTAGCCCTCAGCCAAACAAAATAACAAATCAGACATATTGTTGTACTGTACAGCCTCGCGATTAGTCTCGGCAATCGAAATCAGCAAGTCATTGCAAGCTTACCCCCCTGGAGAGCGAGGACTCCGAGCTAGGGATGCAGACGAGGTGAATGGCGAGGAAGGTTATCCTTCTGAGCCGCTTCATATCGTAATACAGCTGACTTTGTTGTCTTGAGAAGTTCCCTTCTGTAGAACCATCTGTTCTCAGAAGGAGGCTGGAACGCGAACCTCACAAGATACTGCCGATCGAGGCCTGTGCCCCACTCATCCTCAATCCACTCCACGTCATATCCCTTGGCCAGGGATCAGTGGACCAAATTGAGGGGTCGGTCTGGGAATGCATCAACTGGAGTGAATGGAAGCAACTTAGATGCATGGAAGACCGGGTAGGTTCGTAGATGCAGCGGGACGTCGATGACATAGGATGGACCGAATGGATCAGCGCCCACTGTATCTAAGACCTGCCATGGATCCAAATAACGAGGCAACAGCTTGGGGGAGATATCCTCCTCCCTCGACAGCTCAGAACTGGCTACCCAGACATAATCACCAGTGCGGATGGGGGAAGGCCGCCTATGGCGATTCACTTGTTCAATCATTGCCTTTTGGGCTTTGAACAAGTTCGCTCGTGCTCTTTCCACATCTACGCGATAGCGTCTGGTGAACTCTGCAGTGCCTGGTGTCAGGTTTGACTTAGCCTTATCGATGATATCATCGAGAGGCTGTCGTGGTTCACGTCCCCAGTGCAACCGGTATGGACTGAACCCAGTCGAGGAGTGGATAGACATGTTATAAACAAGCTGTGCCCGAGCCAAGTGGAGATCTCATTCCTGCTGATCTGGAGAGATGACATAACGCAGCAATTGGAATAAGACTTGGTTCATCACTTCATCCTGACCATTGGCTTCAGGATGATGACCAGAAGTTATGTCCAATCGTGAGTGCAGATAGTCCTTACAGTAGGACTATCACTCATCGCCGCAAAATCGGGGGTCTCTATCACTAACTATAGAAGTGGGCGGTCCATGGTGTGTGACCCACCTCTCTGAAAAGGTTGCTCTCACAGCCGGAACTCTGGCCACTTCTGGCAAGGGGATGAACTCTGCGTATTTGGAGAAGCTGTCCACACAGACCATAACCTGACGCATGCCACGAGGGGTGGTCTTGCCTAAATCTGTGAAGTCTATCGACACAGATTCCGCAGGGCCATCAGGTATGGGTAAGGGTTTGAGCAGTCCCAAAGGGGGCCTACGCTGGACCTTATTCCTCTGGCAGAGCTCGCAGGTTTCCACATAGCGCAGCATATCACTCCGCATCTCCTTCCTGAAGAAGCGCTGCGACAGGGTTGCATATGACTTTAGGAACCCAAAATGTCCACGAGCGTCATGACACTCTGACATCAGCAGTGTCCTGAGCCGCTGGTCCTGGGGAATGCACAAGCGCTCCTCCCCTCTGCTGGAGGTGTACAACAGATCTGAACTCAGAGCATAGCCTGGTTCAGAGTTGGGATCTGCTTGCAGATTCCTGACTATGGGTCCAAAAGTCGGGTCCTGAGGCAGTAGATGAGCAATGGTCTGACGGGTCTCCTCTCCAAAGGAGTGAGTAGAGGAGATCAATGCGAAAGAATCAGGCCTACGAGAGAGGGTGTCTGCTACCTTGCTGTAGCAGCCCTTCTTATGTTTCAATTGAAAGTCAAACATGTCTATGAACTGAATGTACCGTGCCAACTTATCGTTCAGCTCTCCCTGGGACTTCATCCACTGCAAGGTGGAGTGATCTGAGAAGATCTTGAAGTGTCTTTCCATGAGAAAGTGCTTCCAATGTTTCAAAGCACAGACAAGAGCATATAGCTCTTTCTCGTAGGTGGAGTCCTGCATCTTTTGAGTTTTGATCTTCTTACTCATAAACTCTATAGGTCGTAGACCATTCCCATCATCCTGCTGAAGAACTGCCCCAATGCCATACTGACTAGCGTCAGTGGTCAGGATGAATGGCAAAGTGGGGTCAGGCAACTTCAGCACTGGCGCACGAGTCAAAACCTTCTTGAGTCGTGTGAAGGCCAACTGACAGTGGAGGGACCAAAGAAAAGGAGTGTCTTTCTTTGTTAGGTTGGTCAGGGGTACAACCACTGCAGAAAAGTTCCTGACAAACTTTTTGTAGTATGAGGCCAAACCCATGAAGGACCTGGCATCCCTCACTGTCTGAGGCTGAGGCCACTTCTGAATAGCAGCTATCTTTGTTGCTTCAGGAGCCAGGCCATCTCCAAAGATTACGCGACCCAGATAGATGACAGAGGGAACTCCAAAAGAGGACTTCTCCCTGTTAATCTTATACTGGTTGTCGTGTAACGAATGACGGACCAAAGTCAAGTGCTCCGCATGCTCCCTAGCAGTTCGACTGAATACCAGGATGTCATCCATGTAGACAACCATGAACTTGTCCAGGTAAGGCCTGAAGATGCGGTGCATCTCTGTCTGGAAGGTACCTGGGGCGTTGCAAAGTCCAAATGGCATAACCAGGAACTCGTAAGTACCATACCTGGTCTTGAAGGCTGTCTTATAGACATCCTCCTCAACCATCTCAATCTGGTGGTACCCAGATTTGAGGTCGACTTTGCTAAACACTGTGCAACCCTGCACCATATCCAGAAGGTCATCGATCCTAGGAAGTGGCTCTGTACTCTTCCTAGTGATCTTATTGAGACCCCTGTAATCAATGTACATTCTGAACTCGCCATTCCCTTTGGGCACAAAGAGACTGGTGCACCGAATTCAGAAATGTTGGGCCTGATCCAGCCTTTGCTGGTAAGGGTCTCAAGCTGTTTTCTGAGCTCCTCGAGCTCAGCAAGGGACATCCTGTAGACTCGTCCCTTTGGGGGGACTGCTCCAGGTAGTAGCTCAATGCGATGCTTGGTTGGCCGGTTGGGTAGTCCAAAGGGCTCCTGCATCAGATCAGTGTATTGATCCACAACCTGCTGTATCTCAGGAGGACAGGAAACAGGGGGAACGTCAGTTTGCTTGACCAGAGCTATGAACAGACGCTCATGGTCGTACTGGCGCGAGAGAGAATAAGACTCCCTCGCTCTCAGGCAGTAGCAAGAAGTCTTAGGGTGATGATCAACAACAATTGTGCATGGTTGGTACACCCCCTGTCTATTAGGTAGTTCAACCTTTGGGATCTGCCAGTCGATCCTTGGGTTGACTGCCTTCAACCACTGCATAGAGAACACCAGGTCAAAGGGTAGATCAGGGAATATGTATAAGTTTAGACTATGTCTAACTTCCCCAGCACTATCGAAAGTCACATGGATACCCCTGACTTTCTCCCTGATCGTAAGCGCTGTGGAGTCACCTATTCTGACCAGCAAAGGTTGCTGCAGCTGCTGAACCTTCATACCCAAATGCAGTTTCTTAACAACACTAGGAGATATGAAGTTCCTGGTGGCTCCACAATCTAACAACCCTTTGATCCTGATGTGGTTGATCAGGGGCCGAAGTAGGATGAGGTCAGACTTGCTTTTCTTCTGTTCCTTTAGGTGAAGGAAGAAAGCAGCAAGTGACTGAAGCTCATCCTGCCCCGGGTCCTGATCCGGGTCAGGATCCTCATAACAGAAGGATGCTGCCCGCGCAGTCCCCAACCTCGCACAATCGGTCTCAACTGAAACAACTGCACGTTCACCTACCTGAGCAGATGAAGATGCAGCACTGGGGAGAACTGCAGTCCTCAGGGTCTGTTTCAGTTTTTTGATTGACCCGGGTCTGGCATGTAAGGGCAATCCTTGAGAAAGTGTTGTCCCTCACACCTCAGGCACACCCCTCGTTCCTTTCTTCTTCTCCACACTCCCTCCTGGATCTTGAGGTCATGCCAGGGGAGAGTGGAGGGATTGAGTGGGTCAGCTGGCATATGGACGTCTTTGGGTAGATTAGGGCGCTGGGAGGAGGAAGGCCGACGTCCCTTGTCCTTCCCCTTTGCACCGGCTGAGGTTGTGGTTGGGGAAAATCTCTTCTGCTGCTGCAGAACTCCCAGAACAGCCTGAGTCAGGGCCGATGCAACATCTGTCTCAGCAGTTGATCCAGTCCCAATTGATGGTGTATCAACCTGGGAATCTGAATCAGAAGCTGACGCAGATCCTGCATGTGTAAAGGCTGCCTTTCCCTTTCTACCACCACGAGGGAAGACACCTTTCCTCCAGTCAGAGGAGGGGGCCTGGACATGAAGTTTTGCCTCCATGTCCAGGGCTGCGCGGCCAAAGGATCTCCTGTCCTTGTGCCCAACGCTTTACAAGGCCACAACAAACTTCTCAAGCGCTGCCCTGCAGAAGTTGGTTAGCAGATCATCAGTGGAGATGACCAACCCAGGGGTAGAGGTAAGTTGCTCGAACTCTACAAACAAGGATTGCTGGGTACTGCTGTAGCGCTGCTGTCGCAAGCGAGCAATCTTGTCAGCAGCTTTGCAGGCCCGCTCCTTGTCTGCAAAGCGGTCCTCTAGGGCCTGCATAAGTCTGTCCACCCCTAGCCCAAAAGCCCAGTCCTCCATGGACTGCTGCAGACTGCTGGAGGTTGAGGTGGCCCACTTCAAGGCGGGTCCCTCCAGCAGCCCCAGAATCGTAGCCACCTTAGTCTGTTCTGCACAGACAAAGCCCCTCAAGTAGGCCTTGGTCCCAGCAGCCCAGTCCCCAACATCAGTCTTTGGGTCATCCCCTCTGAACTTGTTGGGAGCTGGGATCTTGGGACCTCTTTGGTCTCCTGCAGCAACAGCTGCATAAGATGGTTGGGCTGTGGCTTTTTGGGAAGGAGGTGGTGAAGGGGAAGAATGGCATGAACCAGTAGGGGTTGAAGGAGGAGAAGAAGCTTTAAGCTTCAATGAGGAGGCAGGAGACTGGGGAACAATCAGTTTGGCTGCTGTCAGCTGAGCAGTCAGATCTTGGATTGCTGTCAGGATCTTGGACTGCTGAGCTGCCATGTCATCCACCCTGTGCTCGAGACGACCCATGCAGTCATCCCAGTTAGTGAAATAGGAGCTGGTGGTTTTGTGTTCCAGAATGGCCCATTCCGCCAGATTCCTTGTCACCTGTGCACAACGTTCATCAGACACAGCCTTGCCTAGCTGCTCCAACAGATACTCCTTTCGCGAAGCATCCGTTGCAGCCTCTAGCTCGGCTGCCTCCTGTCTCTCCAACTCGTCAAGCAGGGTCTGTTCCTGCTGCAATCTTTCCTGAATCTCCTTCTTCCTTCGGTGAGTAGCAGTCAGAGGAGCAGTAGGAGTGGAGGTAGCAGGCTGCTCACCCTCTACCTTCATTACTACTTCCACCTGTGGTTGCTGCTGAGCGACTTGATCAGCCATTTTCCTCTTTTAGAACACACGAAGATAAACAAACAGCAGAGAGTGTGCAGCGATGTACAGATCCCTTCAGGCACTCCAAATCGCTGTTGTTTCATGCATAACAGTCAGGTGGGTGAATAAGCACAAACGGTTTGGGTTGGAACTGTTTCTCTGGGGTCAGGTGTCAGACAGACAGTTAGTCCATTAAAATCATTCACACGATTTCCTTTTACTGACCCTGCACCATATTGGAATTAGTAGAATCAGTCCACTACTCTTCCAGAGGAACACTAGATTTCCAGAGCCCACTAGGAAACAAGAGTAATAAGTGAGAATGAAAGAAAAAGGCAAGCACAGACAAGACGGATCAAACAAGCAGAGCGATCAGAAACCCTGAATCCTAGCTCAGACTCAATTTTCATCCCTGATGACTCTAGTGGCCATACCCTAGGGTATGGCGAAATACAGTATTCACTGTTTCCAGTGATATACTGGAATTCCAATCAAGCGCTTCTGCAGGATTGCCTATTTTTGGATTGCGATTCATTGAGAACTGACAGAACGAAATTCTGACGGTCGGAATTGGAGTTATGACTGACCCTAATTAGCACAGACTATAAATAGATTCAACGCAAAACTACAATTCACTGTGTCACTACTTTTCCAATACAGGATCCCCTGTCTGAGCATCAGAACCCCAGCGCAATACTGTAAGGCAGTCACAGAGCAATTTTGGATGCAAAAGAGTCAACAGAGGGTTAGGAATGAGCAGAGAAAGGTAGGGGAGAGATGGCTATGGCTGTCAAGCAGTCTGCGATTTTCACACCCAGTCGCTGACAGACAGATAGCCCATAATTACTGACTAATCTAATCCTATCTGAATCGCTGTAGAGGTAGGTGCATGGAACGGACTCACTTTCAGAGTATCTTGCAGAGGTTGATGAAGATCTGGCTATGGCAGACTGAAACTCTCATCTGGCCAATTTCTTCCATAAATTTCTCCTCCCTGTCCACACACAAAAATTCTTCAATCTTGTTGATCCTCTTCAGGATCCTGAAGCGCTTCACTCCCTTTAGTCAGATTCACTGAATCTGACCCTGTGGCACCCCAAAATGCCAACAGATAAAATCTCGCCACAGGACCTTAGATCCGTTGATGCTATAAATAGCCCCAGATGGGGTTATTTCCTCCCAAGATTGACACAGACTATCAATCTCCCTCAGCGCTACTCAGGAATGAAGCCGCTCCGCGATCCCTAAAGTCTTCAGGGGTAATTCGCCACTCAGGCACTGAACTCTTGAATCCATCGCTTGAAGTCTTCTTCCCTACTGAGTCACTACTTGGGAAGATGAATCGCCATGAAGCTCTCGCCAATATGTCGCCAGATGAAGAAGCTGCCCATTGCACTCAACCCTCAGTGCTCCAATCCCAATCTCGCTCCGATACCAACTGTTATGAACTTGGTTGTCTGACGATTTTTACCGCCACTCACACACAGACAGTCTCATACGCGCCCATACGTGCATAAGAGAAGGGGGAGAGGAGACAGAGTCCAAAATGCACACAAATCAAAATAGATAGCGGAAGCACAACCATGCATAGATGGGGAGAGGACACACAGTGTTTCTCACTCTCTGGCGATACTCCCAACAACCAATCACAACGAAGAACCTGCGAGGATAACAATTGGAATAGGCACTGATGATGAGCCAATTAACCAGAAATTGTTACAAAGTTTGTTCTAGTGTCTCGCCACTCTTAGAACCTCACACTCCACTCTCTACCCTACACCCAGTTAGTAGCGCCACATCAGAATGGCCTCCCAGAGGCCAGCGCCAACCACCCAGATGAAGAACAGATCCTGCGATGAAGTCTTCAGTGTCGATGAACAACTCTGACGAAGAACCAGGCAGCTATGGCTGCCGCCACCCACAAAGACTCAGTGAGGAGTCTTCACACCGCCCAGCCACTCGCAGGAACCCACAGGGGTTGGTGCGCAGAGGATGCCCCAGCTATGGCAAGTCCTCAACAGGCTGGCTATGGCTGCTGTCCGCGTTGAGGGTCTCAGGGTGCCGCCTGTAGACAATCGCCGCTC